TTACAAATGGTTTAATATATAAATTCTTTGAAATATATTGGAATCCCCTCGTATGTGTATTAAATTGAAATCCCCTTATATGTGCAATATAATAAGGAAGAATTTTTTCAATGCCTCTTAGGTCGTATCTTTCAATTTAAAATCCAAATAATATTTCGTTCTTTTCATCGTCGCCAAGTAATAAAAACCATTTTAGAATTGTTTATTTATTTCGTGGCTGCGTATTTTCCAGTCGATAATTCTTTGATTTAAGCCGACCGATGAACTACGTTTTCAAATTAAAAATCTACGTCTTAATTTTCGTTGTGTTTTGTTTATTTCAAGTGCTTTGTTTAGTCTAACTTATATAAATGAATTTTGAGGATAATTAGAGGACTCTCGTTGGAACTGCGATCAAGAGCGGTTCAGCGTTATGTCCAAATTCATGTCGAATTTGTAAAATTTTCTGTTTTTGTTCCTTTTCATAAAAAATGTGTACCTAGCAGTGTGAAGTTAATGGTTCAGTTAATGTTTTGAGTGAGGATTGGAAGAATCGTCGTTTCCATCCTTGTTTTATTTCTCTCTGGTTATCATTCAAGGATTTTGGCAGTATGGATATAGATTTGTTCGTGTGGTCGTTGCACAGAGAGTGAAGCCCAGGTCTACCCCCAGTTATGGTTCTAGAAATTCCAGTGACGTCTAGTTACAAAAAATCCAAAGTGTTTTAGTGAAAAATCCAGGTAACATTTTCTACAAATTTTAAAGCAAAGACAGACAATTTTTTTTAAATTATAATTGCTTTCGTTAAAATTTGGAAATTGTAACATTAAAAATTGTAAATTTTAGGTTTTGAGTTTAGCTGTCATTTTAAATTTTTCTCTTTTAAATTTAATATTTACATAAGACAGCTAGTTTTATTATTTTTGATTTTCATTTTTTTTTGTTTAAAAAAAAGGTGAATTTCTGTGCGGTAACAATTTGTAAGGTTTTTGTAGTATCTCCAACTCCTAGAGTTTGTAAATGGATGACATGTAAGTTTTTTGTATTTTTGTATTTTGCGACTATTGAGGTAATATTTTTGTGTTGTCTTTTTTGAGTATTCTTGTATTCTCTATATTTTGTAACTGTTTGTGGTAAGACATCAATAAATGTTAAATTTTATTTCTTAACATTTTATCTATTTGTTTTAAATTATTCCCTTGTTTTAAATAGTATCCCAAGTTATCGTTACAAAAATGTCGCCTAGATATGTTTTGATTTTTTAATAATTATTTCTCTAGTTACAACTAGCTGGTGTAATAATTATAATTAGGCACCTCAAAGTAGCGCCCTATATTAAATTGCTAGAGGTGTTTCCCGTTTCTTTTTGCTTTGTTTATCCCAACAGATTCATGACCTTTTGTTTCATATTTTTTTAGTTGTGCCAATCCACCCCCATTTGATTCTACTTATCTACAACCCCAGCTCTCCTACAAACCCTGAGTGCTGTTTGCACAAGTAGCGTTTATTTTGCGTGCCCCATCTTTACCCCCATAATCTTCCCCTAAGGTAGGCAAAATATATATATATAATATATATATATATATATATATATATAATATATATATATATATATATATATATATTTTATATAAGAAAAAAGAAGTACTTGTGACTCGTTTGGAAAAAATATAAAACTGTTTTGGATGGGTTGGAGTCAATAAAAGGGGCTATTTGTTGACTATTTTTTACTCGAGCTTTCAATTGTGATTACAATTATTATCAAGAGCTTCTAAAAAATACAAAATATCTTACAAAGTTGAACTAGAAATAAAAAATTTTTAGTTTTTAAAAAGCAGTTTTATATAACAAACTAATTTTATTTGGTGAGTTAATAAAAAATTTTTTTATTTCTAGTTTAACTTTGTAAGATATTTTGTATTTTTTAGAAGCTCTGATAATAATTGTAATCACAATTGAAAGCTCGAGTAAAAAATAGTCAACAAATAGCCCCTTTTATTGACTCCAACCCATCCAAAACAGTTTTATATTATATATATATATATATATATATATATATATATATATATATATATATATATATATATATATATATTATATAAAATTAATGTTTCTTGGGTTTAGGTTCAATAAAAATATGTTACATGTGGAACTAGATTTTATTTTCCATTGCAATCAATCAACGTTTCGGCAGGAAACCCTTGCCTTTGTCAAGATTCTAAAATGTGTATATGTATAAGGATAAACAGATATTTTAAAATATGTATATATATGACTTACCAAAACGTAAAACGTGACACAGACATTAACGAACTGACTATAAAACGAACTATAAAAGTTGATATCTGATATCTCATTGTTTACTGTCATTAGTATATAATTATATATATATATATATATATATATATATAATATATATATATATATATATATATATATATACTTCATCTAATTTAGATAACGACTTACGTCATTATCTACGTCAGAGATCGAAGTTGACATAGTTGCCAAAGTATAAAAAAATCCTGACTCCATTTTAAATCAAATAGGTCACATAATTATTGCAAAAGTATTACCATCTCTTTACAACGACTATTTAAATTCTTAGGTGACATGTTTGAAATAAAACACACTAATTTTGTTCTAAAAAGAACAGATTTTATTAAATAGGTAAAAATATAAAACAAGAGGTATTCACTTTAAAAATTAAAAATAATAAACTACAAAAAGTGTCAACACCGCAACTGTCAAATAAGTGCTACCAATTTATGCCAAAATTTTACCTTCGTTCGATTACAGTTACAGTGTGTTCCAAAAAAATGTTCTTGATAAAAACTCTTTATAATGGATTTATACAAATTAAATGAAACATATTATTGTGTATTTCTTTAAGTGAATATTAATAGAAATTTTTAAATATTATTTCTACGCGTATATAATAAAATATGTCTAGTGGCTGTAATGTCAGTGTACTCGGTAAAGTGATTCTAAAAAGAACACACCTAAACCCTAAATTTTTCGTGTTGGTATCATATGACGTCACAGGCTATGACGCCGATGACGTGCATCGTTATATAAATTAGATGAAGTGTATATATATAATTGTCTCTGATATAAAATTAGAAAATTAGTATATTGACTCTGCTATTACTAAAGCAACTGTATAAAAGTAATTTCATCGTTTGTCTATTAAAACAATAATTACATTTTGTAAGCGATTCTAAACAGAAAGTTCGTTTCATTTGGCAGACCATCTCTTAGTGGTCTGCAAAGGTAAGGTGAAAGCTTTACCATACTCCTGAAGCAATACAAACTGTAATTTCAATGTCAATATCCGATTTTATTTAGTTAAACCTTTAGTTAAAAACAAAAAGTGCGTGCTAAGTGAATAAAAAAATGAATGCATCAATCTACACGCTGTTATCAAGTGCAAAAAAGCTACAAGTTCAAAGTGTCTAATAAACACTGTTCGCTAGATCACCCCATTTTATTTGCATATAGGGCACAACATGATAACTTTTTTTAAATCAAATCTCTCTTATGTGACTGTTGTGACTAAATTAAAAAAGTACATAGAAACTCAACACCCGACAATATTATAAAAGTTTCAGGATCTAATTTTAATTTTAAAAACCTATTTAAGTAAGTATATAAAGGACATTAATATTCTTAACAAATTATTGTACTTTTATAGGTCGTAGTATTAATTCACCTAAAAGTATACTTCAGTTTTTAAGGCACAAAATAAAAGTAATCTTAGAAGCAGTAAACTTGAATTTATATATTTATGTAGGTTCAACATATTTGCCTATTTTTTTAATTTACTTTGATTGTACATGACCTCACTATAATATTAAATTTATAATTAACCTATTAAGTTAGTCAGCCAGTGGTAACATACGGAGCAGAGATATGGGACACTAGTAAAAGAAACAGGAAAAAATTAGAAGCCACCGACATGGATTTTATGAGAAGAAGCTGTAGATTGACAAGGATGGACACAATCTGCAATGAAGAAATAAAACGTAGAATGGAGCAAGAAAAAGACATTATAGATGAAGTCCAGAAAAAACAACTAACTTGGTTCGGTCATGTAAACAGAATGCAGACGAGAGGTGGCCAAAGAAAATATTAAAATGGATCCCAACTGAAAGAAGGAAAAGAGGGCGTCCAAGAAGAAGCTGGCGAGATGACGTGAATAAAGCCATGGAAGGAAGACAGCTAAATGAAGCCGACACCCGAGATAGGAAACGATGGAAACTAGGGACAGGAAAACAACGACAGTTGTAAACAACCTGTACTATATATATATATATATATATATATATATATATATATATATATATATATATATATATATTAACCTATTATTATATTTGTCCCCTCACTAAAAACAATCGGTAGTTGATGTAATTTAAAAATTAAAAAAAAAACTAGAAAGTATAGTAATAATCTAAATACATGAAAAACTTGAATGGATTGGATTCGAGTATATTATAAAAAATTATGAAAATGAGATACTTTATAAAGTGATGGAAACTAAAAGAATTGTAAAGGATGAAGGAACTAATTAGGGAAAAGTTGGAAAAATGGAATAGAACAACAACTAAGAGCACAAAGAAAATAGTTTTAATTTTTTTTCCTATCATCTTGTAAGATTAATATTTTTTTTATTATTGAGTTAATGCCTCGACAACTATGATCATTGGCATGGTACAGTCAGGTACCTAGTGTAGTGTGTGTGTGTAGAGTAATTGTCTTGATACTTAGCAAAGTCGACGTCATTGTCTTTGCTAGGAGACGCTAATTGTATCCGAACGTCTGCGGTCCCTCTGGTGAGTACCGATCGCACAAGGGTAGAAATTATTTTCATTTATTAATTTTTAATAAACGAAAATTTCCACCCAGGTGGGTTCAAACTCACGACCTTTAGGTTCAAAGGTAGGCGCCCTTACCACTGAGCCACAGAGGGGGTTAAGATTAATATTTGCATTCAAATCAAATAAAAAATAAAATCTTACCTTTACTGGCTCCGGTTGCTTTATCCCGAAGTACATTTATCGAGTGTACCCTGCCGTATTCCTCAAACATTCTCCTTAAGTCGTTCTCGTCCATCGAACGAGGCACTTGTCCTACGAACATCTTTATCGTGTCGTTATCTGGTTGTTCTTGCTCATTTTTGGTTTGCGACAACGCGACGACGTTTGCGTTTGTTGCATTTAGCAAATTATTGTTGTTGCTACTAACGTTGTTGTTATTATTGTTAGCCTGGTTGGTTATGTTATTGTTGTTGTTCATGGCCAGAGAGCTGAAATAAAAATAAAATCATAAGTATTTAAAATATAATACGATCCCGCAGAATATATTATATTTTTACGGTTTTTTTAACTAATACAAATTTAATGCAAATCCTCTAATGGGAGGTAATAAAAAAGTTTCATATTATATAAAAATTTTGTTTAAAATTTAAATTTCGTTTAGTATAAAATAAATAATATTTGATAGTCATCCTATACTATAATATTATAAATACAGAATGTGGAACAAACATACACACTTTTCTACAAAATATAATGCAAGGAAAAATCCAAGGACTCAGAAATCCAGGCCGTAGAAGAATGTCCTGAATGAGAAATTTAATGAGAGTGGTTTGGCTTTACCACTAACAAATTATTTAAAACAGCAGTAAATAAAATTAGAATGAAGACCTTTATATTATATATATATATATATATATATATATATATATATATATATATATAATATATATATATATATATGTATACTTTGGTACGTAACTTTCGGAAAAGCGTCAAAACAAGGATCAGCTAGAGATCGTATAAGCCAGTTTGTCACTCGACACTGAGGAGTAGGCAGATTGAGACCTCAGTGCCGAGAAGCAGTTCTTGTATTTATAATATAGAACACGTTACTGGTACGTCTCGAGTGAGGGGAGTAGCCAGATTGAGACCCCGAACTCGAACCGAACCGTATCCCTCTTGATAATGGTTCCAAAATTGGAGCCGAAACGTCGAACATTAAATTCTCAACGCGGTTCTTTCCAAGAACATAGTGATTTTCATATATATATATATATATATTACTTATGTGCAGCAGAGTTAAGTAAGTTTGCATGTAAAATTGATAACAGTCTACCAACTTTAAATATTAAATATGTTCTATAATTATAACATGAGCAAAACCTTTTTCCCCTACTTGTATTCCTCCACGATGTTCTAATATCCCGGGAAGATACTTCGTCTGTTACAAAGTATTAGTTCGTGATATTTTCGAAACGTATAAAACATTATTATCCTTTCAAATTTTACGATAATTTTGTAATAAAACCGATGTGCGAAAGGTGATTACAAATTTACAACTTTCTGAGAATATTCAATTACCAAAGAACTCAGATTTACATTTATGTTTTACTCTTTGCGTTGTGGAAAATTTCGATTAGGAAGATAACGTAAATTTAATACTTTATTTTTGTTTTTAGTAAAATGAAAGATAAAATATGTTCACATGCCTTAATTTTAATATAAAAACACACAATTCCTACAAAGAAGAAGATCTTACAGTTTTAAAAATATTATATTACATGAGAGAGAGAGACAAAATTGTTTTCTTTACTTAGAAATATCTTCAAGTGATCTTGCACTTGCTAAGACAAAAGATATTTTTTCATTAGAAACTGACAGCCGTTTTCTTTTACAAGATGAATGTATCTTCATGGACAGAAAATGCTGCCTCTGTAAAAGCTTATTGGAGATTTCTTTACTCAAAAACAGTTAACTTGAACAGCTGTTAAACTAATGCAAAGTTAATATGATTTAATAACCACAGATAAAGAACAGAAGCCTCTAGAATAAGAAAGTTTTTATTAAACTGTGCAAAAGAGCACAGAAATGTAATCAAGATAAGATCGTTAAAAATCTTGACACTGTACATATTAATATCATTAGAATTGCTCGTTGAGCATTCCGGAAAACTTCCATCGAAACCTTACTAAGTGAAACTGGTCAGTCACCCCTACTTTATCGAAGAATATATTAAACACTTTCTCACTCAACTTTTATTGCTTCAGATCCAAATAAACTTTTGTATGACAATTGCTTCAATGACAATTACATAAACTAATTTAATAAATAATCTCACACAATAAAACCTTGCTATGAAATAATTCGCCTGTACTGTTCGAAATTAAATATTTCATTTACAAAAGTTTTTCCAGTAAACTGTAACAACTAGCCTTCATGGACTAAAACAGAATCGAAAATCAACGTATCATTAGCCTTAAATATTAAGGATCAAACAAATTTAGCAATCTTTAAACCAAAGCTAAAACCTTTTCTCGAACCAGACGTACAAAAGGCTGGCTTAAAATATTTACCGACATATGAAAAACCGAACATGAAGTTGGTGGAGCTATTTAGACAGACCCGTCAAATTTGACCTTTTCACTAATTCTACTGTGGTGTTATTCTTTTTCAGTAAAGCCATGTAAAATCTCTACCCGAAATATATTATAAAGAAAAATAGGTAAAGAAATAAATAAATAAAATCTTAATTAAAACAATTTAGAGACATTCATTAATATTAGCATATTTCATAAAACTAGATAACTTAACTTACAGTATTGAAAAATAGAAGAAGAACTGTCACATTTTAACCTACATATGTAAAATTTACCTCTAAAATCTAATAGATAACATAAAAAAACTCATTGTCTCCAAGACTGAGATGTAGTGCATACAAGTCCTTCCCCTTTTTAAATTTAATGTTTGTTTCATTTCTTCTGTTTTATGTTCCTGTGTGTTTAAATTGTCCTTAATGGTTTTAACTTTAATATTTTTATATAGTTGACTTTTCAATAATCTACCATTTTGTCAATAGAACTTTATCAAAGAAATTTGATAATTACAAGTTGAAATAATTGCACACCCACACAATTTGTACATCTAATCTTATTCATTGTCATAACCTTCATTTTACCTTCATAAAATAAATACTCAATAAATAATACACATTTCATAAATATATGTCTTGAATATGTATAAATAACTTTTAAATAATACAATGGTATATAACATCACTTTCATCTAACAAATAATCACATTACACCTATCTCTAATTCATTGGATCAAATCTATCTTCTTAAGAACTTCTCGTTTATTGTCAAATAACTACAATAGCAGACTTAAGTTCTCCATTCAACAATACATGATAGTTTCAACCATGTTCTACCATCCATCAATTAATAGAGTACCCGCATGTAAGTAATGTTTTATTTATTTGCTCATTTATTAATTTATTACAATCTAATAGACTATTTTATAACAATTTGTGGGTCTTACCTTGTCTAATAAAACTTTTTATAACTTTTTATTTATTTTGAAAAACCAGACATGTAATATTGGCATAATTATTGTAATTTTATAACATCTACTTTGTTTATCTTTATTAGACAACTCCCTAATATGGGTTTATTATAATTTCAGCATTTATTTAACTTTATATCGAAACCTGAAGATGCTTTGCCTATTGTAGAAAGGGAAACCGGTCGTCCAATAGTTAAATTAAATTGATTGTAAGTCTTACTATTTTTTTACCTATTTGAAATGGACTCACACAAGCAACATATTCATGATTATTATACAGAAAATAATAAAATTAAAAGTTCGGAAAGCCCAAGAAAGCCTCACAACGATAGACTTCTTGCGAAAACCTTCCCATATTGGTATCAAAGGCAATAAATTAGCAGATGTAAGTTTTCGCGATGATATTGGTAATTACGAATCAGAGGTTGAATAACGGAGTGTGGAAAATGTTTTAAAAGTTTGTTTTTAAACAAATTTAGTGTTCAATGCGTTTTACTGGAAGTAGCAGAATTTGGTTTCGAAACTAAAACAAATTGAAAGTAGCATTTCTCCGTGACAACCAACAGCAGCAGGCAAAAAACTCCAAGTAATCCTAACACGACTGAGATTGCGCCTTAGTAAGTAGACACACGGACATTTATTTTTAAACAGGGAAGCTCCAAATTGTTTAATTTGTGATGTGGTAGATAGTATATACCATTTTCAAATTGACTGTCATAAATATACCATAAAAGATGTGTATATGGTATCCCGCATAGCTTGCAAACGGTACTTAAAAATATATTTGACTACAGAAAACTAAAAAAATATCTTTTGTTTATAAATATGTTGTAGACAATTTAACCCTCCGTCGTTCGTATGTGTATCAAAATAATACAAGCTCGACAATTCTCAATGCTAGGATTGAAACCTAACGTAAGAAGAACCTACCTTCATGGTACCTTCCTATGTCGTATTTTACTGCTTCTACAGTCATATCCGTAACGTCCTAGTAATTCAGTTTGTTTACATACAAGAATATTGTATAATATTTATACATTGCAACATAAAGTGTAACTGTTGTTTTCATTTGGTCGTATTTTAGGCTATTTTCGGCCAACATATTATTATTGATGAGTGTTAATTTATATTTTAATTTTTAGTATAATTGCTACAAAGCAGATTTACTACCTAAATAATCCAAATGATGTAGAATATCTTCGAAAATTTATATTAGAAGACGACGAAAATGAAGATGCCCCTAACAAAGTGGAAGATTTCGAGGATCGGTGAAACCGGACACAGATACGAAAGATCAGCCAACGGATGAAAGAGTTGGTGACTCTGATACTGAAGAGAGTGGGACAAAAGAAGATCCAGATTGACACGACAATTTATTTTACTTTGGAAAAGGTAAAACTACTATATGAATGAAAACACCGCGCGAAGAAGCAACGCACTGAGCCACATAACTTGGTTACACGTCTCCCAGGAGTAATACATAAAGCACGACTAACTAAGTTACATATAGAATGTTTAAGTTAGATACTTTCTAATATAATACTACTAAAAACAGTTAGGTTTACAAACCAGTACATTAATCTTAAAGTAAGGGATAGCTTTGACCGATAACGTGATGCCACTGACACGGACATGACAAAACTCAATGTCTTGATAGGTCTTTTACATTGGCAGGAACTTTGTACGCCAACAAATGATGTTAGAGGATCTCTGGGGTACATATGGACACGGTGTGGAAATATTTCGACTGTTTATGGGTCTCAGAAGGTTCAAGTTTCTTATGAGATGTCTGCGTTTCGATGACCGCATTACAAGACCTGAAAGGAAAGCTGTTGACAACATTGTGCTGATTCGTGAACTCTTTAACGATTTTTTGTTCATACTTGTAAACATAGCCATTCACTAGGACAGTCTGTGCCTATTGACG